AGAGCGAAGTGCTCTAATAGGGTGAGAGAAGGCAGTTTATTCTGTAAATTAATTGTGGGACATACATTTGAACATTAAATAACTGTACATGTCGGACCTGGTAGTTGATCCTCACGTTTAAGCTTGGCTGTCATAAACTGATTTGTACACCCCTGAGTTTATGGGGCACAAATGAAGACATTAGCAGAGACCGTGGAATTTCAAAGAAACTGTGTTGCTAACAATTTCTTCCCCTGTCACCGATTCAAAGTGTTCAAGTTCCACATTAAACGAATCTCAAATTTGAGGTGATTAATTAAACCGTCTACCAGTGGTTTTAAAAAAGGACACATTTGAAAGGGTCTCATAAGCCTTTATGTGTCGCCAGCCTTTCTGGACCACGTTTCTTCATCTTCTTAAAAGCTTCTTAAGCTTCTCCTGTTTCCTTAGTTTAAAGCAAGGCCAGCTGCAGTTAAGCACACTCACCCTCAGTTGCTAAAGACCCCTCACGCCTTTTTCACAACTTGCTTGTTCAGAAATTCCTTTTTGCCAAATGGAGAAGAGTGTCGAAATGTTTGTTGTTAGAACTCGGCAGTGTTGGAAAGGTCATGCCAGTTTTGGTCACCGTCCAACGTTTTACCTCAAATGCTAATTGAAAGAGCTTATCTTGCTCTGCAGAATGCACCGCTGCGATCGTGTAACGCCAGTGTGGAAGTTTGAAGGGAAAATGTCCCTGTCACTCACGGGAGATAGCAGCTCCTCCAGGGCACGCAGCCACATCGAAATGATGGCCGTGCTCATTTGCACATTCTCAAAATGCATCTTTTGTTTCTGACTCCGTGTGTGTGTGTGTGTGAGCCCTGGAGCCTGGCTATACTTTCCACTCTGTGGCAGCAGGAGTCGCCCTTTAATGAATAATAGCGATTTCTTTAATTGATTTCCGAGGCAAATTAATAACACGGCGTGTTAATTTGTGATTAGCTTCAGGCTGCAGTTTCAATGAATCTGATTCAAGAGTGATTTCTTCATTGAATTCTTATTACTTTCCCACTACTTCTCCATTTAATTTTCCAACTCTGGGGCAAAATTAAATCCAGATTGACAAACGCGTCACTACTTCTTGTTTCCTTTCCTAATGCGTGTGTTCAATTTGACTTCCACTCTTTTCCAATTTATCCTATTCTCTTTTTTTCCTTTTCTCAGGCATCCTCCTGGGCACGTGTACTTTGACCCTGATTTCCTTGAGGGTATACAGCAGGACATAGAGCGGGAGGAGCTGGAATATGAGGTAAAAACACCATCTCCGTTCTTAGTCGTCCACTCAATGAAGATCTACTTTTGGACAGAAGTGCATTATTGCCCCATAAGCAGACCTGAGGTCGTCTCGGCGTCTCCGCTCCAATGGCCTTGTTAGCGACCCCAAGCCCTGATATATTGCAGTTATTGATGGAGCAGTCTCCCTATGCGGAGACACCGAGATGCATGCCAGACAGGAATCGAGTTGCTGGTTTGTTCCAGCAGATGCACAACGGTGACATCATTACTTATTAGTGACAGGGCCTAATAAGTCTTCCTCTGCTCCTACGCAGTGGAGATGAGGCCCAGTGGATAATTAGATGGCACAAGATAATAGGGCTGCGGTGATGAATCTGATGATGCTAACAGAGGCTGGAAGAGGCCACGATCAAACCTCCGTCGTGCACCTTCATTGACCTCTGCCAACCCTCGCTCCCCCTCTTATTAAACCTCAGGGGCCACCTGCCTGATATTAATATCATCTGTGGAGGTGCTCTTGAAGAATGACTCTGCTTCATAATGTTTAAATTCACACAACAGCAAATTAGCGATTAAATCAAATCCGACAGGTTGACCGCTAATTTGTTTATATTAATAAAAGAAGCTTTATTGTTTACTTTACTTCCCAAATCATATTTATTGTTTTGTTTAGTTGTTTTTTTGCTAGTTAAAACAATAGATTCACACAGTCAGTGTTATGAATCCTGTATAATATAATCCAAATTAATGAATCCTATAGGTATCCCTGTGATTCAGTTCAGTTTTATTTAGCACTAAATCACAGCAACAGTCACCTGTTTGTATTGTAAGATGAAGACCCCAACAGTCATACGACCCACTGTGTTGCGCTTGGCAACATTAGGAAGGAAAAACTCCCTTTAAACAGGAAGAAACCTCTGCAGAAGCTGCAGGTATTTAATAAATCCAGAAGAAAGACTGCTACAAACAGCTAGAAGCAACAATCTAAACTTCTAGTGTCGGTTTCAGCCATTCACAAGGATCACCCCTGCTTACTGTACCTCACTATAGTATCATATTTACAGAATAAGAATAGTCATCTAATTCTTGGTGTTTTCCAGAGGTCTTTCCTCAAAGATGGTCTCCATTTTTTAGCTGAGAGTTTTTTAGAGTGCTAACCCCTTTCAGAATCTGCCCTCTGCCCCCAAAAACGAGCGCTGCTCATATCTTTATCTGTATCTGTGAGATTACACGTGTTGACAAGTGAAAAATGGCACTCTCCGCAACTGCAGTCCACTGCATCATCTCTCATTCTGTCAGAAGGCTTTGTCAGGAGCCTGTGGCCTTGCTGCCTCCAGCAGAAAGATTCATTACAGAGATTGATGGATCACTCCTTCTCTGGTGTCCCAGTTTTGATCCCATTTAGATAGTCGTGGGACACAGACGTATAAATACAGTGTTTCTCTGCTCTATGGGCCAAAATAATTCCAGCTATGTAGGTTATTAATTTGTGCATGTGTCCTTCCAGGAGGTGGATTTGTACAGAGACAACATTCAAGACAAGCTCGGCCTGACTATCTGTTACAGGACTGACGATGAGGATGAGGCTGGGATCTACATTAGTGAGGTATGTGTCGCAGGCGGACAGCAATTTCTTTGCCTGTCGGCGTCAATAACGCTCACTTTAACTCACAAATGTAATGTGTGCTCTCTTTAGATTGATCCAAACAGCATTGCGGCAAAAGATGGCAGAATTAGAGAAGGTGACAAAATCATACAGGTATGATTTCGTGTGTGTGTGCATGTTTCTGTGTCTCTTATCATGACAGTGAACAAAAACGGCTTTTTTTATTTAAATGGCTCTTTCTGTGTCAATAAGATCAACGGTGTTGAGATCCAAAATCGAGAGGATGCCGTGGCACTGCTAACCAGTGAGAGCAACCAGAACATCTCCCTGCTGGTGGCCAGGCCAGAGATCCAGGTGATTTCACAAACTGTTATTGGTGTCAACTCAATAAAGGTTTTAGTTTGGAACCAAATGTGATTTCACATCAAATTGATTCAAATCTGAAAACAGCACTTGGACTTTGAATAGCAGATGGTCT